ATRAAAAAATGCATACTATAAAATGCTCTTCTCAAAAATCTCACCATATTAACTAGTGCATTTTACCTTATGAGGGTATTTATTATAGACAGATTGGGCCATTGGAAAATTCCCATTGTGCGCGCAACTGATATCCGTGGCGGTAGCATATTGCAAATAACAACAATTAGATATTCTGTAYAGACAGTTTTTTTCTTATTGATTTTTTTATATCAAGAATTGCAATTTTCAAAACAAACTAGAAAACTATAGGCCAATAGTTATTATGATATGAATAATAAATGTTACTATAGTCTATAAAAATATAAAATAAACTGGATAATTATTTAGAAGGTAATAAGTAATAATACTAATAACAGTAAGTAATAACACTAATAACTAATAAAAAAAATCAACTGAGTGGACATTTAAAATCTATATTATAATTTTTTATTTAAACTTGATTTTACAATTTAAGTATTAATTATTCTTTTTTATACTAATATGTATTATCTTATTATTAATATTGACTATATGTTTTAGTAGGTATGTAAATAAATAATAATATTGTACTATTTAAAAAATAGTACCTACACATATATTTAAAGTAGGCCAAGTGATTTTCAACTAAAAATTCAAAAAATGTAATAACTTAGATATTTTCATAATAAAAATCAGTTTTGTAGGAGCAATGAATACACCATAAAATGCCAATAAATATTGATTGGTTCATTAAAAGACAAATAAAAATTACCATCTCTTGGGGTGCGTTCAAAAACTTAACTCTAGTTATCTAWCAGAGTTAACTCCAAACTACCGTTCGGTAATTTAGAGTAGTTGAATCTGGGTTAACCCCGATGACCATAAATATTAAATAAATAGGTAGGTTGTTTTAATTCTATTGATAATGATTATTATTTATGAAGATGATAAAATCATGGCTCAYTTTGTTATACCTAATTGAATATTATGTATAACTGGTTGACAAACAGTGGGTAGTAATTAATATTAATTAGTTAATGTTAGTTTAATTTAAATGGTCATAAAATAATTTTATTTTCTAAATAGATATAGCTTATCATTTATCAATACAAAAATATGCCATTTGAWTATTCGAAGTTAAATGGTTTAGAGGACGTGCTACAAGTAGAAGTCTGTGGTTTAGAGTACAGGTGAACTACTCATATTCGAACGCACCCTAGCATGGTATACTTAACTCTAAGATAATATTAACATTTTTTTCAGTTAAATTAAAGTTGGTTATGTATTTTTATTGCTATATCTTACACGCAAATAATAAGTTARGTACCTATTAAACAAAATTAGAAAACTAAACTTTACATGGGTAGTACAATAAGTGTAAAATGAAATTTTTAAATAACTATGTTAACTTAAGTGTCATAAAAAACATGATTGTGAAAAGGTTAATACATCATAATTGTTCTATGGAGACTGCAAAAATTATATTTAATTACACTAAATACACAAATAATTTATGTGTATATGTATTTCATTTAAGTTAATCACTATAATCATAATCTAAAGACTTCATTTAATACACACATTTATACTAACACAGTCATTTGTTAAGCCTTAAGAATAAATAGTGTTWACAAATAACTGCAACTGTTGTCAACAGTTAACAATATTTCCATTAATTTTACTAATATCCTTTGGTAATACTGATACATTGTTACTTTAGGCATTTGATGACTAAAACTAARTATATGCTAAAGGTAGAGCATATGAATAATTAAGAATACTAGATTACTTCTATAAAAACAAATTATAAATAAAAGTTATGGGATAACAATGAAACTTTATTTTTAGGCATCATTGTATAGTAATAACTCATAAACACATTTTGTTAAACAACTTAAAATTATTGCAATAGAATTATTTTCTGAATAGAAATCCATAGGAGACAAAACATTTAAATCATAATTATATTAAAAAAAAAAAAAAAAAAACAGAATTGTATAATGTTATTTAATTTTAAAAATGCATATTACACCTAATCAAAAAATCTTGTACTAATGACCTAGTTGTTACCATATTTTTGTTCAAAAAAAATTAAAATAATATTCTGATAAATATATTAACGATTATTCAAAGACAATCATAGGAATTAAATAAAATTCATATGGCCAACAAGGGAATATATCTTAAATTAATATTTCAATATTTACCATGGCAATGTTGATACAATATATAAGGTAACCTAGCAACCAATAGAGACCTGAAAATTCTGTATTATAATGAAATCATACAATATTCAAATGAGCTAGACATTGTCAATAGGTATACAGTTACAGTAGCATGATAATTTATAGTAAAATGGTTTAAATTTATATTTGTAATATATGTTGGAATTTCTATAAGCTTTTTTTCAAATAAAATACAATAATATATTCATTTAGACTTATTTCAAAAATCTATTAGTTAATTTTATTATAATAGTGGAACAATAATTAGAATTACATTTGGTGAATATAATTTATACAGTAACATATCGTAAACTTAACATACAATACAATATAATAATATATAATATCTAGTACTAATGATTAGTTAACAATTAACAATTTATAAGTAAATAAATGTTTCTTAGCTTAAGTGTAAAATAAGACTTACATAAATATAGAGATAATTCAGAATTAATAAACTAATAATAGTGACACAAAGAACTATAATATTGGTAAAAATACACATAATCTTATTGTAAACTTAACAACTAGACACTAGTTTGATATTCCAACACCTAAATAGTACCTAAGTATACCATATAAAATCAACAAAACATGGATAATACTTAAAATCAATTAATGAATATTTACTCTATTCAAGTTAAGAATAGTAATCAGTAACAACCAGTTTTTRTCTGGCAGCAGTCTGCMACATTAGTTTGTCATCCCCAACGAGTTAATTATCTGTACACCTGTTGTGTAGTATAATGCCACAGCCATGCATTAAAGTCAGCACTGAGTAATTGAGTACAGTTCTTAATATGAAAAGTTTAGGGGTCAAAGAATTTTTTAAGAAATCATGAATTATAATTGTGTACTAACTACTACACCAACAGTTATCTAATAAATAATATTTTATGTAAATAAAACCATCTAAAAATATATTATTGGTCATACTTAGAAGGATGGAGCCATCTTGTTGTCACATGTGCTCTACTGGAAACATGGTGACTGCAGTATAATTGCCTTTAACCACTTAACAGTAATATTATATTCAGAGTGAATGATGTAAAAGTGGTTTTAATGACAAATTAAATAGTATTGAAAGTTGCGTGAATTAAGTAAGTAAGTATACAGRGTGATTCTTTTAAGTGGGTACACTAATTATCTCGAAAAGTATTTAYTTTTTTCAAAATATTTTTTTACATGGTTTCAAGTTGTTAAAAAACCAACGTTTTTATTAAAAAATTATATTTTTCATCATTATCATTTTTTAAGTTTTTTACTTTTTTGAATGACAACATAGAGTTTTAATTTTATACTCCAAAGCAGAATATTTTTCCAAGTATTTTGATTCATAAGAATTGATTTTAGGGCTAGTAGTTTTTGAGTTATAAGTATTTAAAGTTTAGATTGGCAGAGTGGAGTGGTACGGGGTTACCCCGTAAAATGTTTGTCCACTACTCCGCTTGTCTAAACTTTAAATACATATAACTGATAACTCATAAACTACTAGCCCTAAAATCGATTTTTATGAATCTAAATACTTAGAAAAWTATTCTGTTTTGGAATATGAAATTAAAACTCTATGTTGTCATTCAAAAAAGTAAAAAACTTAAAAAATGATAATGATAAAAAATAYAATTTTTTAATAAAAACGTTGGTTTTTTAACAACTTGAAACCATGTAAAAAAATATTTTGAAAAAAATAAATACTTTTCGAGATAATTAGTGTACCCACTTAAAAGAATCACTCTGTATATATATAATAATACCATAACTGTAATCAACTGGTAGATTGCAATCTGTGGTAGTACGCAAACACAAGATAGCCAGGAATAGTACTGTTACTGGAATTGTATTGTATCTATATATTGGTAATACATTAGTATAATATGCTACATTTTACTTATACTTCCTACAGTTTAGTAATGTGATATTATTATTATCTAAACTTATAGAATTATATGAATTACTTAATTGTTAAATATGTATTTTTTGGTATATAGTGACCAGTGATGTGTTTTAATAAAAGTTAATTTTATGAGTTAAAAATTATTATACAATATATTTTCTATTTTGAAATTAAGACCCTTTTGATAAGTCACTTAAATAAGAATGTTTGAGATCAGTTATTCAAACTTTAGTATTTGGTTTATTTTTTTCAAAAACCTTTAAAATGACAGTACACCTATATGTGTTGTTTCTGTCTTACAAATGAACAACATAGCTAAACTGTATAGCATGAGACAGCTATACTCACTGTATTTACAGTAGGATAACCAAAATGTCCACAACACATAGGGAAGAACTTTATCTATGCTGTATAGTTTTTTTGATAGCACTTGCCAATAATGTTTTTTATAATTAAATGAAAAAAAAAAACGTGAAAAATCTAATGATCTCAATCCTCAAACTTATAACTTAAAGATAATGCTACACATCCATTAGTTGTCTTCGTCCCACAACTGTAAAACATAGCAAATTTATGCTCAACAGATCACGTTTAGCTCTGATAGTCTAAAAATTAGAGTAAATCAATCTACTACATTGTCTGTGTTTGTATGTGAGTTTTTTTACAAAGTTCAATTTTGCAGTAAGTTATGTATACATAAAAAGCTTATAAGTTATAACTATACTATAAAAAAGCTTATAACTCCCTTAAAAACTAAGTTATTTAAAAAAAAAACTCACATAGATAATGTTCTTACCATTAAGTTTTTTCACAATAGGTGAATTTATTCTAATTTTTAAACTAATGGAGTTAAACGCGATTTGCTTAGCATAAAATCGATATGTTACTCTCTTTTAAGACAGAGAAAACAAACATGTGTGTAGCATCTTMTTAATTATATTTATATTACTCGAATAATAAAAATGGTATGATACATATAACATAGTTGTAGCAACGTTTTTTTAAATATTTGTGAAAATTCAATAATAATAATATGCTGATACCGAATAAAAAAAAATTAAGGTACCAAGAAACAAGAGTCAATTATAGTAACTATTTAAGTTGATAAGTTGAAGGTAACATATCTGTTGTTAATAGTATACAACACCACCAAATACTCTTCAGATAAGCTGATAAGCATACAGTACTAGTTTCACTTGATAATCTTCAATGATGGTTACTTAAGGAGAATGGAATATAGAGTTCACATGTCCAAGTTTGTCTTCAGTTTCACCTTGGTCATAATTGTTACTGTGTGAAGAAAATGTTAACATATCGTGCATTGTATAAGAACTAAAAGACTGAAACAAAATATATTTTCACATTATTTATTATTTAATAAAAATGTAAGGTAATTTTTTTTTATATTACCTGTTTGTTTTTATGATGCGAAGGTTTGAGTGAAGATACTAATTCTAAGGTCACTGGTTTCCGACGTACTCTATCTATTTCTAAGTTGTCATCATTATTTGATCTCTTCTGTCTAGGATTTCTGCACCCTCTACATTTGCAWCGATCACAAGATTTTTGTTCTGTATAACAGGGACATCTCTGTCCAAAACATGTTAGCTTGCCAGGAGTAGTTGTAGCATTACCACATCGACAACCCCAACGACGTTCATTTTTCTGTTAAAACATAACACATTTTAAGTCATAATATTAAAAATAAAAAAAAAAACCAATCCTAACCTTTTTTCTAGGAATATTGTTGAATACAGATTGATTTTGAATTTTGTGTTTCTGGGATTTTTCATCAAATATTTGTAAGTTAATAAAATCCTCTGATGTTTGGTTTTCAGTGGGCAGTTGAATATCTGATGACGAGATTAACATAATACCGTCTTTACTAACCTCTTCTTTAGTATCTTGTTTATTTACTGTACCATTTACCATTTCACTGTAGCCATTAACTGATCGAGATACACCAATAACTTCAGTAATTAATTCGACTAACCGCTTATCTTCAACTCTTGTGCACATAACTTTGTACAGTGGCGAACTATGTATGTAAGCACACAGTTTCTTGTAGCATTGTAATATCGTGCTGGACATGTTTTCACTTATCTGATTATTCACACACACTGTACAGGCGTATCCATCCAAATAAGGATTCAGTTGGTCAGGCAGTTTATGGCATACTCGACAAGATAGATGCTCATGTAATATTGGTAATAATGTGTGCAATTTTTGCCAGGTCAACGGATCAATGCTCTTGGCTTGCAGTGCGATCCGGCTAGTTGATAAGTAACATTCCATCAGCTGGTCCATCGCACTTATTCATATAAATTCACTTACTATTTACTAAATTGTACCCCCAAACCAGTTGTAGATTATTATGGCAAAATAAAATAGATTCGGCTCCAAACTCCGATTTTTTCAAAAAACCAATTGATGTATAATCATGTTTTGATACTCAGTAGTCAATACTCATCTATATTCATAAATATAAAACTGTTGAAGGTTCAAAAATATAATATCACAACAAAAACACTGCGTTGAACTTAGTGTAGAAAACGGTTAAGTAAATATAGAAGGTGCTAGGTATGTCTTAGTCTATTTATGGGAACTACTAACTTGTATTTCGTATTATTCTAATCACCGTCGCGGGTACAATCAGACAATCAGTAAATTTAGAGTCGGTCTTTTTATTATCATTTTAACTTTGTTTACGATTTTATCCAAGGTCGCCAACTGCTAGCCAAACGAAACAAACGTGCAGCAGCATTGTTCTGTGACAGTTATAGATATTCTATAAACTAGTTTATAGAGTTTATAGGTAGATATCCTATATTCCTATGTCCTATGGTGGCAACTGGACTACTGGAGTACTTCACTACTCCAGCGACTTCCAGCGGTCACTGCCTCACTGGCACAGATACATAAAAATAATGTTGTTTTATATAWCTTTAGTCACTGCAGATTAATATTTTAATATACTATACTGGTTGCAGATAGAAAATTGTATTTTATCAGTCATTTAACCGGTCCACCTGTGGCGATGCTACATAACATAACTATATTCTATAATAATAATAATAACAATAATATAATAATATTAATATTTTACTGGCCGACCACAGCTGCACCCCACATAGTAAATGACTGACCATGGTCGTATTCACAGGTAAAGGGAGTTGATTTGGAAAATGGATCATGAACCTCCTCATGAGTTATGAGTGCTACGACCTTTTCTCATATAACATAGAATATTAGTGCAAAGAAGTGGTGGTGGGGGGGGGTTACTTTTTAATACCCTGCGTTCTTAGATTTAACTAATAAAAAAAATTCATATGCCCTTTCCCTCTCACAATGAAAATATTGAAAATCCTTGTCAATGCCTTCGCACATAATAATTATAACAAGAACGATTGTCTGATTAAATGTAGCATCCGTACTATTCTATAGCCGTGGTAATTGGTTATGAGTGAAGCTGTGAAGGACAAAGAAGAAGTAGAATATTGAGTTGAACACTTTAACATAAATAATATTATAATGTATAATGTATTACTATTAAATAGTCTGCAGAGTGTGATACCTAGTGTGATCCACAAATAAGAAATAACTTCAGTCTTCATTCGTGTTTATTTGGTGGGACTCGTACTTAATAATAACAATTATTAATTACTCTAAGATTCTGCAATCATAAACATTTGAGTAGGTACTAGGTAGTAAAATTAATTTAATGAAATCATTACAGAAATCACATACTCGGACGATTTTTAGGTTTAATAAATTAGTTTTTAATGTATTAAGTTTTAAAACGCAATTGGCACATTTTACATAGGCTGCACTGTGTGCGATTGGTACATAGATATATTATTATATCTATGGATTAGTAAATGGTAAGCCGTTTGTAAGGTTATGTCCAAAAAGTTTACTATCAGTAAGTAAGTAAAGTTGTTGTCGGGCATTATTCTGTGTTATTCGGGCGTATATTATTAACTATATATTATGTTGATAACAATAAATATAATATGTGTTAAAAATACCTTTTAAATCGAATAGGAAGATCTCAGTTTAGGTAGTTAACTTTCAAGTTTCAACTTTTTCTCAACTTTTGGCATACTGTCACTGTGCACACTACATTAGTAGATTGTGCGGCAAAGGTCCGGCTTGTATCTACCTTATATACGTAAGTTTAATCCATACTTTTAACTTATTTATTCTGTTGTGTATTAAAAATTTAAAAGGTAGCTAAAAACACTAATAATAACTGAATTTAAAACTTTTAAATATGTCGTTACTATTTGTTATGACCACTGACTTAGTTAATCCCAAATTATAACCGATTCGGTGTTGATATTAATCCCATGGTCAATGGGTCGTGGCATTGTATTCGAGTGTGTAAGCCATCACAACTAAATATTGATACCTACTATAGTTCACAATTGTCTGTAACATTGTGTTAGTTTCTTTATCACTTAGAAACTTTGATGCAAATGAAAACAATAATTTCTGTTTCTGTTATGTTGGCCTTAAATTGTATGTTTGGTGAAGATAGGAATGCCATATATTTTATATCAATAAGGTTGAATTAAGACTTAAGTTCCTCTCAAGACTGTTATCTTTTGAGTATCCTTCAGTCTTAAAAAAAATTGTGTTTTTAAATTTATATTAATTATCATTTCAAAAATTCAAAGTTTTGATACCTAATCATTATTAGCGGCCACACTTTTGCAGCAATCATCTATGTAAAAGTTATGACTAGCATAATATGTAGTTAAGTTTAATGAAATATTGGAATATACATGAATATATATAATTTGCATTTGCATAGTTTCAACTTTGAATATAAATCCTAATTGAGTTAGGTATAATTATTGGTTTTTAATTTTTAATTATTATAATTTATTATCTATCTGGAATGTTATAAGTACTTGTTGATTAATTTGTTTATGTTAATGATTGTTACATCAGTATTTGTTTGATTATATTATTTAATCTATAATTGTATCTAGTAGCTGCTTCAAACTAAAATTTATCATTGTTAGTAGACTAATTGTTGTATTTGAGTTACCTAAATAGTTTGGTTGCAAACTCCTCTTAGATGTTTATGGCATAAAGTATTTCACTATTCACATAGTCTTAGTATGTTAAGTATATAAGTTTTCAAATTTAAAACCACTCGTGACTCGAAACTATAAAACAATTTCACGAAATAGCTATTAGAAAGTACCTATCAATATTAAATTTGTTTAAATTTTTCTATTTGCAATTTATAGTATGAACAACATTTCTCATCATTACTACTGTGATTTTTTAGTTGAGAGATACAGAAGGCACAAGAACTCATTACTTGCATATTTTAAATAGCCTTCATACATTTTGTCTTTAAGTTATCATTTTTGTTAAGCTGTGTCTGGGGTTGACAGTTTTCTCAAGTATTACAGCCTTTATTACAGTTTTACAATATTTGCTTATATTATAAATTGTACAGATTTTCTTAGGAAGTACTGGTTTTAGGGTATGCATTCATACCAGTACCAATTCTAAAAATTTCTAATACTACAATAGTGAGTGTCTAAGTTCAGAACCTTAATACCATCAACGCTTATTAAAAATTGTTTGACCTTTTTGTTGTTTTTTAATTATTCATAACTTAATTGAAAATAAATGTATTAGAATATTACCTTATACAATAAAGCTAAACAAATTGTTCCATCCTTTGTGTTAAGGTGTTTACCATTTACAATTTATCATTTTATCATTCAGTGTTTTTTTTTGTGTTTTGTGCATTTATAGGTTCTTTACGTGATTCTAAAGTTATTAAACATCTGAACATTCTTGAAAAATCTAGAATCATGTCAATGTCAAAGTGTCATCAACTGTCTTCATTTGTTTGCAAACAACAGAAAAACTTACGTATGATGTCATCATTGTGGGCTAATGTTCAGCAAGGACCTCCAGATGCTATACTTGGTGTAACAGAAGCCTTCAAACGTGATAAAAATCCACAAAAAATTAACTTGGGGGCTGGTGCTTACAGGGATGATAATGGTAAACCATATGTATTGCCTAGTGTAATTCAAGCAGAAAATCTGTTGGCAAAAAAAAATTTGGATAAAGAATATGCTCCAATTAGTGGCATTTCTGATTTCTGCAATGAAGCTATACAATTAGCATTATCCAGTGAATCCCCTATTATTAAGAATAAAAACTATGCTTCAGTTCAATCTATATCGGGAACGGGTGCTTTAAGAGTTGGTGCTGAATTTCTTACAAGATATGCTCCATTGAAAACTATTTGGGTACCTATTCCCACCTGGGGTAACCATAATCAAATATTTAAATTTTCTGGATTGGAAGTTAAAACATATAGGTATTATGATCCAAAAACATGTGGACTTGATTTTGCTGGAATGGTTGAAGACTTATCTTCAGCTCCATCTGGCTCAATAGTTTTGTTGCATGCGTGTGCTCATAACCCAACTGGCGTTGACCCAAAACCAGAACAATGGAAAGAATTGTCCACATTGTTCAAAAGTAAAGGTTTATTTCCATTTTTTGATATGGCTTACCAAGGATTTGCATCAGGAAATGTTGATCAGGATGCTTGTGCTGTTCGTTCATTTWTATCCGATGGTCACCAAATTGCTTTGGCTCAGTCGTTTTCCAAAAACATGGGCTTGTATGGAGAACGTGTAGGATTGTTTTCATTAACCACTTTGAATAAAGATGAAGCAGACCGTATTGTATCCCAGTTAAAGATAATTGTACGGGGTATGTATTCAAACCCACCAATACACGGAGCTAGGATTGTGTCAGAAATATTATCAAATCCTCAATTAATGAATCAGTGGTTGGTTGAAGTGAAAGGAATGGCAGATAGAATAATATCAGTGAGGTACAAATTAAAAGAACTTTTAGAAAAAGAAGGCTCTACAAAGAATTGGGAACATATTACAGATCAAATTGGAATGTTCTGTTATACTGGACTTACTAAAGATCAGGTTAAAAAGTTAATTGATCAGCATAGCGTGTATTTGACAAATGATGGTCGTATATCTATGGCCGGTGTCACTTCCAAAAATGTTGGTTACTTAGCTAGTGCAATGCATAAAGTTACTAGTACTTAATTGAATAAATAAAGGGAAACATTTTTAATATATCTAGATGCAATGATATGGTATCCTTCTATCCATAAAATGTTTCATCAACTTTATAATCTATATTATGTTTTGTAATCCATTTTTTTAAAATTAAATTTATTTAAATTCACACTTTATTTTATATACATCTATTAAATAATGATTCCTACTGCATAACTATTTGTATTAGGTAATAGTTAAATAAAATATAATTTTATTGGAAATTATTCTCACGTGTATTTATTTTAATTTTTATTAGTATGTGGTTGCCATTATTATTAAATTAATATTTTTATAACTTTGTTAAGTATTTTAAATTTGATGTATGATAAAAATATACAAGCAAATAAATTAACTATTTAATTTAAGTACATTAAAATTAAGAAACTTAATTTTAATAATTGAATATATTCATTTTGGCCAGCAGTTTACTGTTAGACTTAATACTAATTGTGTTGTTAATATTTTATTACGGATGAGTATGAACCATTGATACTTGTGATACCTAATATTTCATTAGGCAATACAATTTTGTTCTTCAAAATGTTTCAGTTAAGTAAAATATCTAGTTAGATATCTTATACCTACCTTAGAAAATATAATCTACCTCATTTAAAATTTAGACTATTATTTGCATTTGGACATATTTGAATGTTTATTTTATAATATGATTTGATTTAAAAACTTAAAGAGGAGTATAAAAATATTTCACCTTAATTGTAACGTTTTAATGTACCTCCCAAATTTTATGTTGTTATTTCTTTTTGATAAATACAGAAGAGATAAATTCTAACTTCTAATGGAGTTTCTTTTTAAGTTAATAAAAATCACAAACTATACTTTTTAGTTTTTATTTAGAACAAAAGTTAAGGATAGTAAAATAAACCTATTTTATTCGTTCTAATGGCTGTTGGACAATAGTAGACATATATTTAACTAGGTATTCTATACCTAGACACCTAGTTCTTTATGTTAAAATTATATTTGAAAAATTCCCTTTAATATTTTTACAAACATATACACTTAACAGTATACCTATACTATAAAATTTTTACCCAAAAGCTTAAAGCCTTTCGCTTTACCCACCGTTGGATGTGAGGCCCAACATTTATTCCCTTTCGGCATGTCATTGTAATACCTACACGGTTAAGTCGTGTTTATCCGGGCGTCATTCTATTGCGTCCCGTTTCAAGTTTCAACACCTTTTATACCTTTTCAGTGTGTCGATTGCGCCCTATTGTATAATGGGCGATTGTAAACTCCGCCAGAATATCGGTCGAGATAAAAAGGTAATAATAGGTCTATGGTAAACTCCCCCAGTTTTTTTTTCTTACCTATAATGGGTATATGTAAACTCCGCCAGTTTTTTTTTTTTACCTGGTCAGTGCGACAGCTCTCGCATTGCCACGTGCCTTCTCACATTAAATACGTTTACATCTATATCATCTATATCATATTGATTTTATACTACTATTTGATTTTCTTCACTGGCGGAGTTTACATGAACTCAATTTTACCTGATTTTTTTCAGTGGCGGAGTTTACATGCGCCCTGTATAATATATTATAAGCATACAATCACACTACTATTTAAATATGATTTTATACTGCTCATTTCAGTCCAACACATTCATTTTAAATTTTAAATGCAAACTATAAAGTGATTGCTACCAGTCTTAAGATAAAATGTTCGTAAACTAATCAAGTAAAAACCAATTTGTGTTAAAAAAAAATACCATTTGTTACAAATGTATTATATTTAATATTTTATGTGTTACATTCTTGCTTACGTACTATACAATAGGACGCAATCGGAACACAAGAAAAGGTAGAAAAAAAATCGTTTACCTGAGTCTAGGACGCAATCGACAAACTCCGGTTTATCCAGTCGTAGAAAGGCTCTGCATTTTTTTCAGACAATATAATACTGCTATTGCGTATTTATATTAAATACGTCGAATGCGCTCATGGCTGCGATAAATAACTATTACAATCCATGTTCGGTTTTATTTTAGGGCACCAACTCGCTATAGATTGTATTTAAT